TATATATATATAAGTTAAATTTTATATATATTGTATTATATATATATTGCACACGAGTGATATTTAAAAACTGTGCTTGCTGCTTATAAAAAACAAAAACCTACTAAAACATTAATCTCAAATAAGATTCTATTACTTTTAAATAGAAAAAAAATACTTAGTGAATACATTCATCGCACATACCGTTTACGACCTCATATTATTATTTGAGCTCAGCAACATAATACCGCGGAAATGGGATTTATTAGCAAAAATAGGAAGAAACCTTTGTAAAAAGTTGAAGACGAGGAAATTACTTGTCCCGTAAATTTCCGGAGAATGGCCGCACAACCATGCAGCAAACAAAAACTTTGGCCAGACCGAGCGTCTTAATCGAGAATCAATATAGTCTATCGTTCGTTTCTTTGGAAAGCTCTGAATTTTTCATAAAAGAGCTTTGTGACTGTCGTTCTTCGGGAGATTTTTGCTCCGTCAACGTTTACATTCCACACACAAATGCTGCACGCGCAAGAAATACGAATCGGATAATTGCCGCACTCGTGCGTGAATAGCTTTCTATTTTGGTGACGGAACTGTGACGAAATCTATATAAATTTAGTAGAAACTTCGATAGTTTAGTACAAAATTTCGATAGTTTAAATTTAAAAAGAGAGTGGATGTATCAACGAATTTACTGTTAAATTATTAATATATTATGAAGTTTAATGAACCATATATATGCGACGCGCTTGTACGTGAAGTTGGAAGATATCTATGCAATTATTACAATCCTTTTGGTTTTACTAAAAAGATGCTAATGAGATGGTCTCACAGAGAGAATCACAAAGAATGGGTAATGCACAGTAGAGTTATGCTATACGGAGATATGTAAAATAACTTTTGGAATGTCCTCTCAGAAAGGCAAAATACGTTATAGACATGTAATATAAAATATTGAATATGTCGTAGTATGTCGTAAATATTTTATAAAGATTCAGAAGTCTATAGCATTAATCGCCAATAAGAAAATATTATTATAATATTACCACATTGACACAGCATATTGAGCAGTTTGTATCGGACGATGATAAAAAGAACAAATTAAAAAATCGAATATCAGACAAGAATAATTATAAACGTTAATAAAAAGATACAATTAACTATTTTTGAAAAAAAAAAAAAAACAGTTTTAAAAACGCATCCTCTCTGCAGCGTTAAAAATTATAACAACTCATAAACAAGGCAGAAATAATTAATACTTCGTTAAAAATATTTTCAATCGCAAATTAATGTTCTTCAGATGTAATAAAATATTTGAATGTCTTATAAGATAAAATCAGAAATCTTCATTACATTATAAAAGTTTTCTGATTTCAATTAAAGACTCCATCACGAGCAATTAAGTGCAGTCACGTGGAAACTTGGAATGTTAAATACAGGAGCAAAATGAAGGCACTGGAAGTAAAAAGAGAACGTTTGGACAATATTAGCTCGAGTTATCAAGAATCAGATGCAAAGATATTTGGACGGAACCAGGGAAATCTCGACCGCATCAGTAAATTCAATCGCGTACTTTTGTAGCATTGCTTTCCTCCCACGAATAAAGCTGAGACATCTTTTACGTAAGCTTCTACATGCGGGAAATAAATTTTGCAAAGATCCTAATCTATATATGTATAAATGAAAAAGTCATACAGCTCGCATCATAAAGACGTTTGCTAAAATGAGTACAATGAATAGCTACGAGCGGAAAATAACGAGAGACTATATCATTATCTAATCGGGAGACGAAGGAAAGGACGTGACGATCAGCCATGTTCGAGACCAGAACCAGCTCGATCGAATCGCTCCCTCAAACCGGCCATGGCGATTTCGCCAGCGCAGACACGTAGGAAGAGGGATTCGGAAGGGTCCGACAGGGGCAACGACCAGGTAGAAGAGGAAGGGAGAGGGTTGA